GCTTATGTGAAAAGCAGTAGTACCTGCAATAACCACCCGAAGGTATATGCATACTGAAGACCCCACATACGACCCCCAGCGCCAGCGATGGCAGCAATGGTGCAAGTTGTAACCGTACCATGTAATGTCAGAGCCCGCCCACATAAGTTCAGGCTGTACGGTACCATCATAACCGATCTAGCGTAGCGTGAGACGGACGGAGTTATGATCACATGACCAACTATGCCCAAAATCAGCGCGCACAGTAAGTTGAATCTCTAGCAGGTCAAACCCGCAGTTTGGCCATGGCGTTGGTGGAGGAAAGAAAAGTGTGGCGCAGGAAGAACGGGGTGTTCGACATGAACCAGATTGGCTTCGTGCTTTCGAGGCTCCTCCTCCTCCGGCGCCCCCCCCCATGTTTCTTCCTCCTGTTGCCCCGTTCTTAGTGGACCTCCCTCGTTCCTCAGCCTCCACTCTTCGCCCTCCCGCACTTCATCTTTCATCCTTATTCGTCCTCCTATACCTCTCAGTCCCTCATCCGATTTCTCCTTTCGCCTCCGCCGTCTCTTCCTCGTTCTTCTGTCTCTTCCTCCCCGTCCACCCTTCTTTTGTAGAATCAACTCCTCTCGTCGCAAGACGTGCCGGCCGGGCGGGCTGGGCGTTTCGCTTGAATCCTCCTCGCCACTGATTTTTACCCTGAAGCTTGACAGCTCTAACAGTTGCACGAATGGGCGGCAGATGGTCTGCAACACGTGGCTCTGGCCTCAGCGCCGCGAACATTCGTCGGACATTACTTACTCCGGCAGCAGCAAGAGTGATGAAGGACTGCTCGTTTTCAACATGTTGCGCTCGCCTCAGCGCCGCGCACAGTCGCCTTGAACGTTTTGCCAGCCGCTGCAAGGGTGGGAGGCGGACCCCTTGCAACACGGGATTTTCAGCTTTAGGGCTCTACGCAGTTTTTCAATCTCAGTGACGCAGGTCAGTTCCTTTCCAATTCGGAGAGCTCCATTGAGACTTCCCTCATGTGTTCAGCCACTGCGCCCACAAGTTTCAAATCCCAAAGCAGCTGCACGCTTTGGGGGGGGCCGGTACCTTTTAGGAAACGGCCTCGCACTGGACACATTTTAGAATTTTGCAATCTTGCTTCTTCACATTTGTTGGTGGTTCCTTTTCGAATCGGACCTCGCGCTAGCACGTCTTTGAACTTTACGATGCTGATTCACCACGTTCGTTGGCGAGTCTTTTTCGAAAAGGGCCTCGCGCTGGACACGTCTCTGAATTTTACGATGCTGGCTCGCCACGTTCGTTGGCGATTCCATTTCGAAGCGTGCCTCGCGCTGGACACGTGTTTGAACTTTACGGTCCTGGCTCTTGACATTCGTTAGCGATTCCTTTTCGAACCGAGCATCGCGTTGGACACGTGTTTGAATTTTATGGACCTGGTTCTTCACATTCGTTGGCGGTTCTTTTTCGAACCAGGCCTCGCGCTGGACTCGTCTTTGAATTTTACGGTCTTGGCTCGTCACATTCGCTAGTGATTTCTTTTCGAACCCAGCCTCGCGTTGGAGACGTCTTTGAACTTTGCGATCCTGGCTTGTCACATCTGTTGGCGATGTTTTTTCGAAGCGGGCCTCGCGCTGGACACGTCGGTGAATTTTGGCGATCCTGTTTCGTCACATTCGTTGGCGATGATTTTCCGAAGCGGGCCTCGCGCTGGACACCTTGTTGAACTTTACGATGTTGGCTCCTCACATTCGTTGGCGATTCCATTTGGGAACGGGTCTTGCGCTGGACACGTCTTCGTTCTTCATGGTCCTGGCTCTTCACATTCGTTGGTGATTTCTTTTCGAACTGGGCCTCGCGCTGGACACGTGTTTGAACTTTACGTTCTTTGTTCGTCACATTCGTTGGCGATGCTTTTTCAAAGCTGGCCTCGCTTGGGACACGTTTTTGGATTTTACTGTCTTGGTACGGAAAGCATGTGGACGAAGACCGGCAGCAGATCTTGCATTCTTGTCGGACAGAAATCGTTGTCGGCATCCCCGCGGACGGTGTCAGCTTGAGACAGCAAGGGGCCTGCCCAGCAACAGCCGCTGTCAGATTTGGACAGCACTTGCTGCTAGAAATTGTGCCCGCTTTGCTGTGTGTGTGTGCCAATTCTGGGCACGCCAATCATCGGAAGGGGGGGTCTCTTTTCTGTTTCGTTTGTGTATTCATGTCCTTTTAGCCATCCCTAAGGGATGGCCTTCAGGACGTGTGTTAGCCCAACGTGGGTTGACCCAGCTGGGCCCCACCTATCGCGCGCACAGCCTGCTGAAGGGCCCTCATTGAATTGCCCACGTCGTGCTGAATGGTTTTCGCGGTCAAGCACATGTTGGCGCTACGATTGGGGCGTTGGTTAAGGAATGTGCCCAGGAGGCTTCAGACCATGGTGGTGGTGCGGGTCGCCGTCGTTGCCGTCGCCGTCTTGGTGGTGGTTGTAGTCCGAAGGCGCAGTCGTCGCCTCCGTCGCGGTGGTGGTGGTCGCCGCCAAATGGCGCCATCGTCGTCGTCGTCCTCGTCGCAGTCGCAAGCCGTCGTCGGCGTGGTCGTCACGGCGGTCGCCGTCCTCGTGAAGCGTCGGCGGCGTCGTCGGCGTCGTTTCCGTCGTCGTCGAAGGCAGCCGTCGTCGGCGTCGTCGACGGCGGCGTCGTCGTCGGCGGCGCATGTCGGCGGCGTTGTTGGCGCCACCGTCGTTGTCGTGGCTGTCGTCCCCTGCGTCGTTGTCGCCGTCGCCATCATTGCTCCTCCCCACATCTCGGACGACCGCGGCGATGCCCCTCCTCGCGCTGCCTGCCTTTCCTTCCACTCCTCTTCCTCCTGACGGCGCGTCGCCGCCGCCGTGGTGGTAGAGGTCGTCGTCGCTGTCGTCGTCGCTGGCGGGGACAGGAGAGAGGATCGAGATGTTTCACGCATTTGGGACCTCGGGGCCTCTGGAGGCCTCCAGAGACCTTCGGAGACCTCTGGGGCCTCTGGGACGTCATCGTCGTCGTGGTTGTCGTCGTCGTCGCCGCTGTTGTCGTCGTTTTTCTCGTCGTCGTCGTCGTCGTCGTCGTCGTCGATGCCAGGGCGGAGGAGGAGGAGGAGGGAGCCAGGGGGAGGAGGAGGAGCGGGCGAGGGGTTGGTGGGCGTGAGTGCAGAAGGAGAGAGGGCGGGGGGAAGAGGAGGAGGAGGAGGAGGAGGAGGGAGGAAACGGAGGAAAGGTGGACAACGAGGGTGGGAAGGAGTGGGCTGACAGTGAGGAAAGAGAGGAGAGGGGGGAGCAGGAGAAGGGGGAGGAGGATGATGATGTGCGGAGAGGATGACAAAGAGGGTTAACGAAGGGAATAATAGTTGGAGAGGAGGAGGATGATATTGAGGATGAAAAGAGGGATCATGGTGAGGCGGAGGAGGAGGAGGAGGAAGAGGAGGAGGAGGAGGGGATGGACTACGACTGAGACGTCGGCGAGGTTGAGGTCGAGAAAGATGCACTTGAGGGCGGCAATGATGATGGTGGTGACGATCGCGGGGGATGATGATGAGATGAGGTTGCAGGAGGAGAGGAGGCACCCTGCTACAGGAGGGCCCTTACTTCAAGCATCCTGCTACTCATCACATGGCAGCCCTGTTTGTATCCATATCATCCTCATCCGTCTCCCCCGCTCCTACATGTCTGCCTTTACGCCCTCCCCCTCCCCGCCCACCTCCCACCGCCTCCTCTTCCTCCTCCTCTCCCCCTCCCTCCTCCCACGTTCTCCAAACATCGTTCCTCCTCCCCTTTCCCCCAACATTTCTCGTCCTCACCCCCTTCTTCGCCTTGTCCCCCGTCCTCCCCGTGCTCATCCTCCTCTCGCTCCTCCTCACCCCTGCGGCTACACGCTGGCCATTCGGGTCTGCGTGCCTCTTGTCTTCTGCCCCCCTTGGGGGGAGGACAACAAGACACACGCCATGCCCAGTTCGCCGGACCTCCCCCGGGGCGCGCCCTCTGGCCAGGATGCCGTGGAGAGTCGGGCCGTGGCGACGAGGGGGAGAGGAACCCAGACAGACATATGATGCCTTGACTTGTTCGATACGGTTCCCATAGCCTTATGTCGGGCGTGTCCCCTTGCAGGGGGATTTTCGACGAAAAATCAAACATATTCCAAAAATGCACCAAAAATGTTAAAGAATACTTTAAAAAATAGGCCCCAGACTATTTTTACATTAAATCCCCATGTGGGGGGACAGGCCCGACTTAACCATAGCCGCCGCCGCCGCCCCGCCGCCGTCGTCGTCGTCGTCGTCGTCGTCGTCGTCGTCGTCGTCGTCGTCGTCGTCGTCGTCGTCGTCGTTGTCGTCGTCGTCGTCGTCGTCGTCGTCGTCGTGGTTGAGCTGTTCTGCTGACGGCGGTGCAAGGGCCCGGCGGGGGCCCACAGAGGCCGAATTCGCTCTTTGCATCCTGCCGCGGCGCGGGCATGTTTGGGTGCTTTGTCCCCCTCTGGCCCCAGGGCATCGGGGCCTCTGTCCATGGGTGTTGTAGTGATTTCGACGTGTGCGCGTGCGCTTGCATGGTATCACGTGCGCCCACGCATCAGTCGGCCCACGGGCCCGCCCGCCGCTTCGCGAACGAGGACGGGGGACAGGGGGCCTGCGTCTTCGCGTCCAGCCGCTGCTGCCCTTCCTCGCCCTCCCCTCGCTCAGCGAGCGCTGAAACGGCGAAACAACATGACCCTCTCCCTTCAGAAAGCGAAAACCCACCCCCACCCCCAGTCCCGACACCCACCCCCGAGCCGGCGATTCAAGGGGTCGGGGCCGGGGGTGGGGGTGGGTTTTCTCCACTCCCGGGCCCCGAAAACCCCCACCCCCACCCCCAGTCCCGACTCCTGGAATCGCGGAGTCGGGGACAGGGGCCGGGACTGGGGGAGGGGGGGGGGTTCTCGCCCTCCCATCCCTGCCCGCCCAGCCTCTCCCACCCCGCCCGCTCCGGCCAGCCGCAGGCCTGCCTCCGCGGCTGTCTCGGCCCGAGCCGGCTCGGCTGCGGCCCGTTTTTATCATCATTTTTTTTGGTGGTGTGTGGCGCCCCGCGCGCGCATCTCGGCACACGCAGGCCGGGATCTGGGCAAGGAAGGTGAGGAGCAGGATGTTGCGGTGCGGGAGAAGAGGGAAGAGAAGGAAAGGGGGGCAAGGAGGAGGAGGAGGAGGAGGAGGAGGAGGAGGAGGTATGCCAGCATCCCTGGAGGATTCTGCTGCCATCCGCGCGAGGCGGAGCAGAGTAGGACGACGGCGACGACGCTTCACGACGACGACGACGACCGTGGCCAAGAACATGGTCGCCATCGTCGTCTTTGTCGTTCTCGTCCGACTCTTTCGTCGTACTTCTGCCCTTCCCCCGCCTCCTTCTCCTCCTCCTCCTCCCCTGCTCCAGACCTCTCTTCCTTCTCTTCCACTCGCTCATTCTCCTCTTTCTTCCGCTGATCCTTATCTCTCTCTCGTTCTCTCGCTCTCTGTCCCGCTGCCCCCCTCCCTGCCCTTCCTCGCATCTGCCTCCCCCCTGCTTCCCGCACCACTCGCTCCTCCGTGTCCTCCTCCCCTTTTTTGTTTCTCTCTCTCTCTCTCTACCTCGCTTTCTTTATTTCTCTCTCCCTCTCTCGTTATCTTCCTGCTATGTGTGTGTGTGTCTGTGTGTGCGTGGAATGTTTGTTTGTGTTTTTTTGTTTCTCTCTCTCTCTCTTGCGCTCTCTCTCTCTATGTGTGTGTGTGTCACAGTGTCCCTCTCTCTCTCTCTCTATATGTATCGTTATCTCTCTCTCTCTCTCTCTTGTTTTGTTGTTTTCTCCCTCTGTCTCGGTTTCTAGTATTTCCTCTCGTGCTTGATGTATTGTTGTGTTTTGTGTGTTCTCTCTCTCTCTCTCGCTCTCTCTCTCTCTCTGTATATGCACTCCCTCTAGCGCTCGTGCGTGTGTGTTCATATGTCCATCCCCCTTCCCGCTCCTCTTCACATCCATCTCGTTCTCACAACTGCTCCGAGACTGCCCCTCCTCGTCCTCCCTTCGACTTCTCCCGATCCTCCTCTTCGATGGACCTCTCCTGCTTGTCTTTCTTGTTCTACACCTCCTGTCTAGTCTCCCGCTGCTGCTTCTCATGAATGTACTCTTCCTCCCATCATCATGATCATCATCACCACCATCACCTGCACATTCATCTGTATCACCACCATCACCATGATTATCAGCATCCTCCTCCTTGTCATCATCAGCAGCATCGTCATCACTACCACACCCGTCATAATCATCATCATGATCATCAGCATCCTGGTCATCATCATCACCACCATCATCATCGTCGTCATCATCACCATCACCATCACCATCACCATCGCCGTCATCACCATCATCATCATCACCAACAACAGCAGTATCGTCATCATCCGCATCATCATCATCATCCTGATCCCCATTCTCATTGCCATCAACAACAGTCACATCGTCAGCATCCCGCTCCTCGTCCAGCTCACGTCCGCCCATTGTTCCAGCGAGTGTCTTCTTCTCCGCCTTTCACTGTGCCACCCCTCCTGCCTGCGTCACTCGCTTTCCTCTCCTTAGGCCTCCTCTCTCTATCTGTCCTTCCCTCGCTCTCCCCCCATGTGCCTCCCACCCGTGCATCCGTCTGATCCTCCTCCTCCTCATACGGCCCATATTTCTCCTCCTCTTCCACTTCCTCCTCCTCCTCCTCCTCGTCCTCATCCTCATCTCCTCCTCCTCGTCCTCCTCCTCATCTCCTCCTCCTCGTCCTCCTCCTCATCATCCCTTCTCCATTGGACAAACGTTGGCTTGCTTGAGCCGTCGCGTCTTGGTGGCAACGATCCGAGAAAACACTGTTCGGAGCGCAGCGCTGAATGAAACAATGGTCAGGCCCTGGTACTGCAGCGGCGCTCGTCGGCGAGAACCAAGATATTCAAGACAGCTCGGATCAGCAGAGATTCAAGAGTATGGTGCAGCGCCTGGGCGTGGCAAGGATGACCCCCCCCTCAACTATACCCTTTCCGCTCCCCCTTGCATTTTCGAGAAAGGGCCGACGTGATGCCCTCGAATTACGTGTGCGGTGGGCGGCTCCACGCCCATCGCCTCATATCCGAACCAAGGTCGGTGCAGGGCCAAGTTAGAGATGGACTCAGAGCTCCTCCACCACCTCCAAGCTCCATCTCCCGCACAGCCACCTCTTCCTCCTCCTTGGATGCCCTCACCAGGGTCGTCGCTTGAAACTCTGGTCTTGGTGGCTGGATGCCATCACTGAGGGTCATCGCCTGAAATTGTGGCTGCCTTCGCCGAGGACCGAAGCGGTCAACACGCTTGCAGAGGTCGACACGCACGGTGTGGCGTTAGCGCTCATAGTGGCCTCGATGTAGGCCCGGAAATGCGAAGTAGATCTCTCCGAAAGTAGTCCACGACTCACAGAGGGCGGTTGGTTAAAGCTGCTAGCGGGGCCCATGTACTACTGCCTCTGAGTGCGAACACCTATGCTGCGGCAGTTACCGTATGCACTGCATACAAGGCTGGCGCAATTCACTGGCTGGCCTACTGAATGCAGGAGCGTCTCGAAACGATTGCCATGCCGGAGCGGCCGGCTTGGAAGAAGCTGGAGCCCTCAGTGGGGCACGTGGGCAGGAATGGCAGCAGGGGCCCTCACCCGCCCACCCCCTCCCCCTCACCATTGGCATCGCTCGGACGTGTGCATTTGTCCTTCGGCGAGGGCCATCGAGGAGCATCCTTGATATCATTTGGCGAAAAACCCACGCACGAAACCGACAGAATTATCCAGGCAACGCAACCTAACAGCGATATGTAGAAGCATATCTGAAAGCATTCCCCTTAAGATTCAGATGAAAATCCAGTTGTAGAATTCTGCTGTTCTCGCAGTCGTAGTCGCATTCGCGATGACAGTCGCAGCGGCAACGGCAGTCGCAGTCACAGCCTCAGCCTCAGCCTGCCTCAGCCTCAGCCTCAGCCTGCCTCAGCCTCAGCCTGCCTCAGCCTCAGCCTCAGCCTGCTTCAGCCTCAGCCTCAGTCTGCCTTCAGCCTCGGCCTCAGCCTCAGCCTGCCTGCCTCAGCCTCAGCCTGCATCAGCCTCAGCCTCAGCCTCAGCCTGCCTCAGCATCAGCCTGCTTCAGCCTCAGCCTGCCTCAGCCTCAGCCTCAGTCCTGCTTCAGCCTCAGCCTCAGTCTGCCTTCAGCCTCGGCCTCAGCCTCAGCCTGCCTCAGCCTCAGCCTGCCTCAGCCTGCCTCAGTGGCATGGAGTTCTGGGAACCACGAAGTGGCCTACAGTTGGCATTCAAAATCATGCCCAGGAATGGAGTTCTGGGAACTTGAAGAGCACGAAGTGGCCTACAGTTGGCTCCGGGCATCCAAAATGTGGCCCGGGAATGGAGTTCTGGGAAATCGAAGAGCACGAAGTGGCTACAGTTGGCTCCGGGCATCCAAAATGTGGCCCGGGAATGGAGTTCTGGGAACTCGAAGAGCACGAAGTGGCCTACAGTTGGCTCCGGGCACTCAAAATGTAGCCCGGGAATGGAGTTCTGGGAGGTCGAAGAGCACGAAGTGTGTGACTGTTGACGAAAAACGAGCCCGGCTCTGTTCCCGGTTCTCCAGAATGTGGCCCGGGACTAAAGTTCTGGGAGGTCGAAGAGCACGAAGTGTGTGACTGTTGGCCAAAAACGAGCCCGGCTTTGTTCCCGGTTCTCCAGAATGTGGCCCGGGAATGGAGTTCTGGGAGGTCGAAGAGCACGAAGTATGTGACTGTTGGCGAAAAACGATTCCCGGTTCTCCTCCCCGGCACCCGCCCAGACCCCCCTGAGGATTCATTATGCTCTCCTATTAGAAACCTATCAGCAAAAGCTGTTAGGTAAAAACACAGGAAATTGACGTCCGAGCGATGGCGAGCACCTGCCTGCCCGTCACCCCGCCCACGTCCTTAGCGCCCGCGCTGGCGCTGCCACCGCGCCGAGGGTCGGCGCGAGGCGATGAAGTGGCCGCGGTCCGCGCGCGCGCGCGAGCCGCCCCAGGGGACAATCACCCTCCTCCTCCTCCTCCTCCTCCTCCTCCTCCTCCTCCTGCTCCTGCTCCTCCTCCTCCTCCTCCTCCTCCCCCTCCCCCTCCTCCTCCTCCTCCTCCTCCTCCTCCTCCTCCTCCTCCTCCTCCTCCTCCTCCTCCCTCCTCCTCCTCCCTCCCCTCCTCCTCCTCCTCCTCCTCCTGCCCTCCTCCTCCTCCTCCTCCTCCTCCTCCTCCTCCTCCTCCTCCTCCTCCTCCTCCTCCTCCTCCTCCTCCTCCTCCTCCTCCTCCTCCTCCTCCTCCTCCTCCCTCCTCCTCCTCCTCCTCCTCCTCCTCCCTCCTCCTCCTCCTCGTCCTCCTCCTCCTCCTCCTCCTCCTCCTCCTCCTCCTCCTCGTCCTCCTCCTTGGCGGAAGTGCCTCCAATGCACGCCTCCTCTCGAGCTGCCCGGCCGCGGCGGGCGCTCCCGAGGCGAGCCAGCCGCGGCGGGCGCGCCCGAGGCGAGGTCGTCGGAGTCCGCAAGCTCCGCCTTGAGTGCTCTCGTCTTGTCACGGCCAACGACGTCGAGGCCGACGACGTCGAGGCCGCCGACGACGACGACGACGACGACGTTGACGGCGAGGAGGATAGCGACGAGTCCGACTGCGACGTCGTCGCGGCGTCCTGGTCTTGAACGAGCTGCGGTCCCCACCTTTGCTGTGCGAGCCGCACCGGCTCCCGCGGGGCGGCGATCTCCGCCGACCCGGACGGCGCTCTCTGGGCCCCTGGCCCCCGAGGAAGCTGCACCCCATCCGAGGCTGCGGTGTCGGCCGCCGTCCTCTGGGTGGAGTCGGTGGAGGCGCTGTCGTCGGTGGGGTCCGGCTTGGGGCGCTCGTCCAAGATGGCGTGGTCGATCCAGGGCGACTTGCAGTCGAAGAGCGTACTTTTGGTTTTCATGCCCGGCGGCGAGGCCGCCGCGGATGTGGTGTATTCATGACGCTCGGCAGGGCCGCCGCGGAACTGGGGCAGTGCTCCGCTCGCGGGGCCCTGATGAGCGTGCGGCTCGAGCCAAAAGGGCCTTGAGCCAGAATGGCT